CTTTAATCTGATTTAGAAAATATGATTTTAATAAATATTTATGAAGTGAATTATTCATAAAAATATTAATAGAACATGAATGATTTGAATTTTATTGAATAGACACATGATGGAAATTATGTTTTTGGTTGAGTTGGCAACTGAAGACTTAGTAGTAGGGTGGCAGATATCACTTAGTCAGTATGCTGGAAGAGTGGGAGTAGGACACACTACACACCTGCTCTCTCCATCTTGTACTGTAAGGTGTAAGCAAAATTATACTTTTTCTGTAGGGTCACAAGGTTTGGATGCATTAACATAGATAGTGAATTATATGTGGGGTTTGTTTTACTGATATATACTAATCCAAAATGTGCATGTTTTTAGCATTCTATCCTTTTTATAAGTATCAGTTCAATTTGCTTTTTAGTGAGATGACATGGTTATTTTGGGTGCTGGGAATTAGATTGATTTAAGAATTTTGAGAACTGATACTTGCCAGGAGTTGCATTCTTGACCAAGCCTTAACAAAGCATGATGACCAAATTATATGACTTTTCAAACCAAATGAAAAAAAAAAAATTTATGTATATATTTTTGGTGGGAGGAGGGGGTAGGGGAGGAATTTTAGATTGTGTAAATAGATATTCATTGATATATTCAGAATGTGCAATTTTCAGTTGATTTGAAATTTCATGGGTGAAGGATATTAAAACTGATTTGAATTTTATAACTTAGATACTGTTCTTGTTAGTGATTAGTTTATGTCCATGTTCATTATATACTGATATGATTATGTTAGTGTTATCAGACAATAAGTATATACCTTACTGGTATATCTACTAACCTTGGGTAAAAGAGATTTATCAGACAATAGGTACTTGAGTGAAGAGGAGAAGTGCAGTGGATTGTAATAGTTCATATGATTGATACTTTTAAACTGAAAGTGGCAACTCCATAGGAATGTAACATACAGGGTGTAAGAAGCTGTTAATCTCTTCCAGCTCAGAGTTTGTTAGCAGTAGGTGGAGGTGCCAGCTTGGCATCATTCTCAAGGAGTCTAGTCATGGTGAGTAGACATTTGAAGTGGCTTGTTCTTTGTCATTTTGATTTCCTTATCTTTTTTATATATTTTAAAGATTGATCGCAGAACTCGTAATTATTTTTGAGCTTAATTTTTTTTTTTTTTTTTTAAGAAACTAATTAGCCTTTCTTTGTTTAGGCTTCAGAGTCGGCCTTCTACAACTTCAGTGCTGTTGATATTGATGGCAATGAAGTTTCAATGGAAAAGTACAAGTGAGTTTCAAGAAGTAGTTACAGCCATTCTACAATTTTTTTCCTGTGTGATAAAAAGCATTGTGAAATTTTATGACCTATAATTTAGTCTTCACCTTGGCAGTGAGAGGGAACTGATTTTCTTTCATATTTTCAGGGGCAATCCTTGCATTGTAGTCAACGTGGCTAGCAAGTGAGGCTTGACCAGCGTGAACTACACCGAACTGGTGCAGCTTCACGAGAAGTATGAAGCCAATGGCCTGCGCATCCTTGCCTTCCCCTGCAACCAATTTGGAGGCCAGGTATTTGTACATGACACTGGTGTTGTTGGCATTGTTTTTTAACTGTGCCACTTGGCGTGTTACCTGGATAATCATCAATCATTGTCTTCATTTTCATCTGCATCTTCATCTACATCTTTTTTATCTTCATCATTATTTATCTTCATTATTGTTATTATAGGTTCTTATTGTGTATTGTAATTGTATGTTATTGATTTTATGTTTTGATTTTATTGAATATCATTTTTTTATTATATTTTATTATTGCTGTTATTGAATATAGTTTTGATATTATTATCATTATAATGATTATTATTATCATTATAATGATTATTATTATCATTGTTATTATTATATATTATTACTTGGTATTATTAAAATGTGCCATAATTGTTCGATTAATGTGTCAATAATTATTATTACTATTATCATATTGCCATGATTTTTGGTAAAATATCCTCATGAAGTTACTAATAGAGGTTTATGTATATCCTACTAATTCTTTTCTTCTTCTTTTTTCAACCCAATAAAGGAGCCCGGTACTGAGGCTGAAATCAAGAAGTTTGCCGAAGGGTATGGAGTAAAATTCGACATGTTTTCCAAAATCAAGGTGAATGGGGATGACGCCCACCCGTTGTGGAAGTTCCTGAAGTCGAAACAGGGGGGCACACTCGGCAATTTTATTAAGTGGAACTTCACCAAATTCCTTGTTGACAAAGAAGGAAACCCAGTAGCTCGCTATTCGCCACAAACGAATCCAATTGTAAGTTGATGCGTGCTTTTTGTTTTCTGGTTATACAAGGGAGATGGGAAATTAAAGCTTTGTTTTTAGAAAATGGGTGTCTGGTAACATGTAGTAATTTTTTTTTTTTTTTTCTTATTTAAAACATATTCTCAAAATTATTAAAATTTTGTTTGAGTATTTTGTGTGTGTGTGTGTGTGTGTGTGTGTGTGTGTGTGTGTGTGTGTGTGTGTGTGTGTGTGTGTGTGTGTGTGTGTGTGTGTGTGTGTGTGTCGCACGTCATGACTGTAAGTAGATGATTGAAATTTCTTTCCTTTTTCCCCCCACAGCCAGCCATTGAAAAAGACCTCCAAAAATATATGTAAGACTCAAGCAACCAAGAATAAATGATGTGAGAAGGGTGATGGATATCATGCAGGGATTATCTCTCGTCCTTTGATCATCATGTGCAAGTAAGATGGGCAACAGATTCGATAAGATGTGCAATGAAGGTTAACGGGTAAACTCAAATGTATGAGCCCTGTATACTGGATGATACTATATCTCATTTCCTCTGTTGCATTTCTTACCTCTAATATAATGAAAAACAACGTTGCTTAAGAGTGCCATGTCAGTTCTTTGTATTTTTTAGTAGTGGTTGTAACAATAATGCAGCTAACATTGTGCCAGTAATTAAATACTTGCTTACATATCTAGTCTGATAATATCAGGTAAATATCTTTAGTGCTCAAGCTCATCCTTTATGTAAAGGATATCATCCTTCAGATGCTACCTTATTCCTACTTGTGAAAAGAATCTCAATAGATGTACACCAAGGACTTAGGGGAGTAATTTATGTTCCTCAAGTTTATATGATTAATGTGAGGAAAATTTGAGAATCCTTTTTGTCATATACTAGAATTTTTGTGGAAAACAGCATTGCATTAAAGCAAAAAATAAAGTTGCTGAAGTGGAAAGTAAGTGGAACATGGAGCTTTCGCATTGACAATATATACTGTTATTTTCTTATAATAGAGATTTACATGCAAAGTGAACAAAACAGTGACTGTAAGTAAGTATTCTTATTCAAATGTTCTGCAAACTGTAGGGAAGAGATCACTATATCATCCATTTTATTACTTTTGCAAATGTAGTGAAAGAAGGAATGCAATCTAATGTGATCCACTGTAGAAGTTTTTGAATCAGCACAACAGGTGGAATGAAGGGAATGGTATATGTGAGTAGTAAATTAGATATGAAGCTAAAATCAAGAAACTATTTTGGTATTTTCCAAACTTAAGCTATGGATATTAGCAGAGAGTTTATGTTAATTAGGTAGGGGAAAACTCGGTCCTAATTCATTGGTATATTTGACTAAAGAGGAAATAGTAATATAGGAAAAAACAGTTGTATACACTCATTTGTTTTCAAAGAAAATTAATACTGTTAAGACTTAAAACTTCAAATAATAGGCAAAGTATGATAACTTTTATACTGTTATTTTAAATTAATGACATGTATGTAAGATTTTGAAAGAAAAGAACATGAAATGTTTCAAATTATTGCACTTTCGGTTCACCAGTCTAGTTTTGCTTAACCCTTTTGTCCTTTAAAAGAATTCATTGCATTCCTACAGCTAAGTAAAATATCCATGACCAGTAAACTTCCTGTGATGTTTTCAAGCTGAAGAACAATGTTTTGTTGTAATTAATTGTTGCTATAATGTGCAAAAAAATACACTAAAAAAATCTTCTTGATATTTTTTATTTTCCTTTGAATTGTACATTCTGTTGGTGTAAACACAAAATTATACTAATGTCTTTCTCTGCAAGCATATTTTCTTAATTTCTTACTGTCAGTGCATAAACTCTACTGACACTGACAACTGGCATGACTATACCCTGAAGAAACAATACAGCAAAAAGCCCTTTGGCATATATATATATTTTTTTTTCTTCTTCTTCTTCCTCCTTCTCCTCCCTTCATTGTTTTATTTACAACATGCTTGATGTGATGTCTTATGCATGTAGCACTTACCATATAATTATTGAAAGCCTTTAAACAGACTGTTCTTAATGGGACTGAAAATCAACCAATTTTTTGTTCATGTGAAGAGATCTCAGACCAGTTAGTATATTCAAAGTGTCCACCATATTTAGAGATAATCTCATTATGTTTGTTATATGGCAGATGACAAATATAACATCTGCATTACAATTAACTTTGGTTATTTACTCATTGTTTAATCAACCTTTGAGTCTGTTGAGAAAGAAAACTTTTACATTTTGATTTAACAAGTTTATTAAGGCATATCCACAGGTACCCCCAATCCCTTGCTCATTGTTGCTGTGAGGATCTTAGGAGGTGGAGACCGAGGCTTAATGTAGGGATCACCCCTACCTTGGACCTTAGCTCTCACCTCAACTAATTTTGCAGTCTTTTCATCTGCCTCTTTCCTTTTCCTTCTTTTCTTTGTCCCTTTCTGTCCACTTATCCAAATTGTTAATTCATAGTTACCCCCTTTTTACCACAATACTTTTTTACCATAATGCTGCGTAACCTTTGATGCCTGGTACAATTGTTTGCTTTGACTATTGACCATTCTGGAGAATCCACAAACATTGCCTTACTGAACCAAAATACTTTACCTGGTGGTTTTGCCCTCAAGCTCCACCCTATTGCTATGTTTTGTATACAGCTTTAATGACTTAGATGTTGATGTGGCTGAATATGTTCTGTAAAT